GTGCCCGATGGTTTAGTATGTGGACTATGGTCTATGGCCTTTTGACATTGAACTGGGTTATTGTGGGTTCTGTAAGAGATGATCTTTGGGCGTGGGTGGGCTTATGTATAAACTAACTGACCTGCCTTCTAATTCCTATATCTATTTTCTGGGTGGTATTGAAAGAGAGAAATACTAGAGCTTTTGATGGAATTGAGAAGGATTTTGTTAATATTAGGGATAGATAGATTCACACTTTTGGGTATATGATTTTGGGTCATGACATTAATGGTTTAGATGATTTTGGGAATGTCTTAGACCAGTTGATTGAAATGTAAATACTTTTGTGTATGGATAGTACCCCCTTGGTACTATTGTTTATAATATACTTCTCTATACTTTTATTTCAAAAGAAAAAATAGTTGTCCAATCTTGCCAATCGATCTTCATGGGCTAGAGCTCTAAGATAGAATAATCTTTGGCTGTATCTATAGCATTATAGTAATTATTATTCTGCTGTTACTATGGCATTTAGCTCTCTTAGTTTTCTGTCTCTTTTAGCTCCAATGTTTTGTCATTTTATTAGCAGGGCCTTTTTAATACATTTTATTAGCAGGTTGATGAATGGTTCCCAGGTTTGAATAGATAATGAGGATTTTACCATCTAACTAGGTCTCTAATTCTTCTTTCATTTGTCTGAACCTTCAAACTCCTTGGATTTGCTTATGTTTTGTAATATTATGAAAATATCACAAATTTTACTAGATTGGTGCTTCCCTATAGGGTGATGTGGAGTCCATTGCGTCTAAAAATCCCAAGGAACTCACGGTGCTTCTCGAGCAGATTTCTGGCTCTGAAGAGCTCAAGAGAGATTATGAGGATCTGGAAGAAAAAAAGGCTAGAGCTGAAGAAAGTGCAGCACTTGCATATCAGAAGAAGAAAACAGTAGTGATGGAGAGAAAGCAGAAGAAAGAACAGAAAGAAGAAGCAGAGAAGCATCTTCGATTGCAGGACCAATTGGTATGGATTTTAATTTTTAATATGAAGTGCGAAATGAGTTTTGGTGTGCCTTCTTTAGATACATGGTTCATTTTCTCATCATGAACTTCCCCTGTCCTCTCTGCTCCTTGCTCCCTTTGCAGAAATCGTTGAAGAAAGAACACTACTTATGGCAATTGTTTAACATTGAGAAAGATATTACAAAGGCAAATGAGGATGTTGATAATGAAAAGAAGAGCCGTGAAGATGTCATGCGAGAACTAGAGAATTTTGAACGTGAAGCAAGTAAGAAGAAGAAAGAACAAGCCAAGTATCTGAAAGAGATTGCACTATGCGAAAAGAAAATTGCTGAGAGAAGCAGTAGACTTGACAGAAGTGTAAGTATTTTATGTCTTCTGAAAGCTGTCAATGGCTGTAATATTTATATTTTTCAGGAACTTATATTTTTAGTCTAAGTTCGAAGTTACTGACATGTCTCTCTGTAAGGTGGTTATTGTTTTTACTTAGTTTTTAGTCTTCATTATTTTGTAAATTACCTGAATTTGACAGAAAATGAGAGCTTATGGTTTAGTTTTCCCCCTTTCTCCTCCTGCATACAGCAACCTGAGCTTTTGAAGTTAAAAGAGGAAATGTCTCGGATAAAATCAAAAATTGAGAGCAGTCGAAAGGAGATTGATAGAAGGAAAAAAGAAAGAGGGAAACATGCTGATGAGGTGAAAAAGCTGAGAAAAGGAATACAGGATTTGACAGCTAAATTGGAAGATTTGAATGAGAAAAGTCGAGATGATGGTGGAAAACTTCCATTGCTTGATAGTCAACTGGAAGAATATTTTCGAATGTAAGCCTTTTATAGCTTTGGACATATTTTAAGAAATTTTTGCCTTTGTTGAGGAATTGGATGAATGTCTCCAACCATATATTTTCAAGAGATGTTCAGTTGTGTTTTTGAAAAAGTTTTGTTCCTAAAAAAAATTTGCTGTTACTTCAACATGGTTTATTGGTGCTTTAGGAGCATGCTTCTGGCCTTTTTTTTCAAAAAAAAAAAAAATTTGTTCGTTGAGAATAAAAAATATTTGTTCTGTGCTTCACAGATGTTGGGGTGTGATGATTTCTTGACCCTCTAGGGGGTGTGTTTGGTACCTTCAGGTCTGTTGAGTCTTCTCTTAGGATACTCTTGGAGTATATTTTTTTCCCTATCTATGTAGCCATTTTCCTTCCTTCATCAATACAATTTCTTATTCTACAAAGATAGTAGATGTTGAGCATTATCAGAAACTTTCACTTTTTGAGATCAGTCATGAGCAAACAAATATTTCTGAAAATTTGTCAACTATCTGAATGTGCGATGTATTCATGTTTTATGTGTGATACTTAAAGAACCATCTTTAATTGTGATGCTTAAAGGATACTGGTTGTTGTTCCAAGTTAATTATATGTTATTTGATCTGAATTCTTACATGGAATGTTTAAGATATTGCTAGGTTTATTCAAAATCTCTCAGTAGGCAAATAAATCCCAATTTGTCCTACAACAGGTTCTTCTGCCACTCGAGTAACCACAATTACATTTTGACAACATTCCAAAATGTACACTTGTCCAACAGAAAGGTCCAATTGGTTCTTGTAAACATGAATGGTAGAATAAGCAGGCACTATGGTGGTACTGCAAATTATAATTTTCCCTATAAAAACTGTTGTTCCTATTAGTGTAATTGAAACTGTTGCTTTTAGGTAGATTATCTTATTGGCTTCATTGAACACCACGGTGCATGCTTTTTCTAAGGGGGATGTCTTTGTTTATCATGCAAAGGGATTGGGACTCTTGTATCGGTGTTCCTCTACTTTTCTTGCTTCCGGTTCCTTTTCCTTTATCTTTTTAGGAGGATGTTTTTCCTCTTTATTATGATTGCTTGTAAATCTTTTAACTATTTAATATCTGTTGGGTCAATAACAATTTACCTAGTTATTATCTAAAAAAAAAATTACCTGATTAGAGTGTCCTTACTTTTCCTAACTGTTGTTAAGCAGCGTCTTAATTTATCACTGAAACATTGTTGTCTCAGAAAAGAGGATGCTGGAATGAAAACTGCTAAGCTGCGAGATGAGAAAGAAGTTTTGGATAGGCAACAACATGCTGATATTGAAGCGCAGAAGAATTTGGAAGAAAATCTCCAGCAGTTGAGTAATAGAGAGCATGAACTGGATGTGCAAGAAAACCAAATGCGTTCGCGGCTAAAGAAGATTCTTGATTCTTCTGCAGAACACAAGGATGAGCTCACAAATCTGAAAAAAGAATTGCGAATGATGCAAGATAAACATCGAGATTCCAGGTTAGTTAGTTCTTGGTTTCCTTTTCTTAGAGTTTACTTGCTTTCTTTTATTTGTCTATGTGTTTGCTAATGTATATTTATTCTGTTGAGAAATTTCATTGCTTAATTGCAAGATTTAAAAAGAAAGCTGCACTCATCCGGAGAAAGCAACCTTTTGTTTTTTCCTCTTCCTTTTTCCTTTTGTAACTGTTGAATGATAATTTGCAGGAATAGCTACGAAAATTTGAAGACTAAAATCCGTGAAGTTGAGAACCAATTGCGTGAACTGAAAGCTGATAGATATGAAAATGAGAGGGATACTAGATTGTCTCAAGCTGTTGACACTCTGAAGCGTCTCTTTAAAGGGGTTCATGGCCGCATGACCGATCTGTGTAGACCAACTAGGAAGAAGTACAACCTTGCAGTTACTGTTGCTATGGGTAAATTTATGGATGCAGTAGTAGTTGAGGATGAAAATACTGGAAAGGAATGCATTAAGGTATTACTAATGTACCAATTTGCTGTCTTCTATTGATTTAGCAAAGAAATTGCTGTCTTCTAATATTGAGTTTTAAGTAGTTAAAATATATGCTCCAATTTAAGTTCAAATATATGCCATGCAAAGCTTATAATGATATGCTCCATAAATTTCTTAGCTAGAGATATCATTTTTTTTTGAGATAAAAGTGAG